GCTGAATTGTATACCAACCTCCAAGGTAGCACCTCCCTGTCAGTTCAAATCCAGCAGTTCCTCAGGAGGAAAGATGGGTGATCACTCGCCTCCTTTGTGATGTGTAGCCTCTGAAAACCTGCTGGAGGGTCAGCTATGAGTTGATTCCAATTCAATAACAGTGCATTGCATTCATTGACAATGACTCCTTCTTTCCCCCTCCCTCCTACCTCCAGTAACCATTGGTAGCTTTGGTCTCTATACATTTGCCTATTTTAGAGATTTATAGAGCTTAGGGGGAAGGAGTTATGCTGCCAACACAAAGACAGGCAGTTCAAATCTACCAGCTGCTCCTCAGGAGAGAGATGGGCAGTCTCCTTCCATGTGATTTACTGCCTCTGAAAACCAGCTTGAGGGTCAGCCATGAGTGGACTCTGAATCTATGGAACACAACAACTGAGATTTATTTGGAATTTCTGGTGGCATAGTTTGTAGGGAGTTGCCCTCTTAACTCAAAGGCTACTATTATTGGTTGGCTTGAATCCATCAACAGGTCTTCTAGAGATACAGTCTCCTTTGGAGTAATTTACAGCCTCAGAAGCCTGATGGAGTGTCAGCTATGCGTTTGTTCTAAGACAGCAAGATTTTGAGTTTTTTGAGAGCTTTATATACACCCATTGGACCAATAGGCAACATCACAATACATGGAGAAAAGATGGAAACTGTAAACAACTTTGTCTTCCTTGGTACCAGCAGTGAGGAGATTAGGAGACGTCTTGCACTGGGAAAGTCCATATTCAGGGACCTCTCCAAATTATTGAGGAGCAATAATGTCAGTTTGAGGACCAAGGTGCATCTGATGCAGGCCATAGTCTTTTCAATCACTTGCTATGCATCTGAGAGTTGGACAGTGAATAAAGAGAAGAATTGATGGCTTTGAGCTGTAGTATTGAAGAAAAGTTTTGAATACCCCATGTACTTCCAAAAGAACAAGCATATATGTCTTGGAGAAAGTGCAACCAGGGTGCTCATTGAAGGCAAAGGTGACAAAGCTTCATCTCACATACTTTGGGCATAGTTTTGTTAGAGAGACATCATTCATGGAAAGGAGGAGGGTTGGTGAAAGAGAGGAAGACCTTTAGTGAGATAGATTGACAGTGTTGATAGCAATGAAATCAAGTATATCAGAGAAGGTGAAGATGGCACAGGATAGGACTGGGCTCATGGGTTGATCTTGACTCTGTGGCACCTAACAACACCAACAAACTGTTGTCTAGTCCCGTCTGACTCACAGTGACCGTATCGAATTTCTGATGTTGCAAAAGGACTCTGCTTTCTTCTGTAGAGTAGTTGGTGGATTCGAACTGCTCATCTTTTGGTTAGTTGTGTGACATCTGCTATACTATGCCATCAGAGCCCCTTAGATAATTATTTAAGTGGAGCTGTATAATTGTCAATTTGTAACCGACTTATTTTACTAAGGATAATGCTTTCTGGATTAATCCATCGCAGCATGGATATTGTAGCATGCAGAACTTTATTCATCTTTATGACTGAATAAATATTACATTGTGTGGCTTTGTCATATTTTGTTTGTCCATTTATGTGTGGATGGACACTTGGGTGTTTTACACTTTTTATTTTTGTTTTAAATAATAGTGCAATGGGGAACTTTTACTCTAATGAAATTCAATCCATTGGAGATTTTTGAGAAGTTGTTGTTGTTGTTGTTGTTATGTGCCATCAAGTCACTCGTGACCCTGTGTACAATAGCTTTGAACCCTTCCCTATCCTGAGCCAGTCTTCCTCTCTTGCACTGTCCCTCTGCCTTTCAAAGCATTATGTCCTTCTCCAAGGTCTGGACCCTCCAGGCCACATGCCCAAAGTAATGGAAGATGGAGCTTCAAAATCCTTGTCTCCAAGGAGAAACTTGGATTTGGCCTCTTTAAGACTGACCTGTTTCTTCTCTTGGTGGCCCATGGTATGTTCAATACTCTTCTCTAGCACCACAACCCAAAGATATCTATTCTTCTTCTGTCGTCCATAGTCATTGTCCAGCTCTCTGATGCATAGAAAGTAATTGCAAAAACCATGACCTGGATCAGGTGCACCTTACCAGTATTTATATTGATTTATATTTTCAAAGTATTTCTCTGGTTTCTATCTTGAGAATAGGCAGTAAAGCACATTACAAAACTATAGGAACCAATTAGGGGTTGCTAGCAAAAACACTTATGCGAGAATGATGGTAGTTTAGACTAGGATGGTTGTGGTAGATGTGGCTAAGTGATTGGATTCTTGTTATTATTTTGAAGGTAAATACAGGAGGATTTACTAATGGGTTAAGTTCTGTTTGGGGAATGTAAATGCCTGATCTTTGCCTAATTTCTGACCATGGCTTTGTACTTCATATGTGCATTATATCTTCTGGTCTTTCCCCTCCAGGATTCAGACTATGAAGACACATACTAATGGAAAGTCTGTATGATCTAAGAAGAGTCACTCATCTAATAACAGAAAACAAAGTGCTCCACTGGCAGATACAAGCTCTTGGAGAAATGGAGCGAGCCTGGGCCAGCAGTAATGGAGGATTCTCGGGGCAACTCCCTAAGACGACATGCGCCACCAGAGCTCCCTGTAGTGAAGACTTTAGGTGCCATTTATTTATTCAAGAGCTACTCTTTTTGTATTTATAAACTGTTTAAAAGCTCTCAGAAGAGACTTCTAACTACCCTTCTTAATAAGTTATATTTCAGTTGAATGAAGGAACAATTGCATTGTTTTGCCTTTGCTCTTGAATGTATTACGTGTTGTCTTCCAATTATTTGAAGGAGAATCCTAAATATTTGACACTGCTGATCCTAAAAGAATTTTTCTTTTCCTCCCCCCACCCCTTTAAATGAAATGGAGCAGGTGACTTCCAGATGGGCTATCAGACAGAATGTTGTTTGGGGAAAGCATTCCTTGCTTTTTGCCTTATGAACATTTTCAGCTGTGAGTTAGCATACAGTGTATACTCATTGGTTTCTTGATCTTTGAGTGGTTTTGATTGTATAATCCTAATTCCCTTGTAGTTGGTGAGATCAGGAAATTATGTTTTACTTTGACTGGATTTTAAAGTATTAAGTGAAGTGTTATCAGTTTAGAATCAAAGAGAAGTGGTGAGGTAGAGGCATTCCTTTCATTGTTTTGCTATGGACCAATTGAGTCAAGGGACCGTTGTTACTTGTTTTCTTAAAACTAGCTGCTTAATGGATTTCTTCTTGACTTTTCAGGTGAGAGGCAAGAAAAAGCCTTCAGAGATTTTTAGTGGGTAATTAGAGACTACCATAACAGCTATTTGCGATTAACCTTTTAATCTGTGTTATTTTTCAGAACTCCTTTAAGTTCTAAAATGCACCAAATAGAAGTGTACTATGGTGTTTACAAGCTGTTTTTTGCATAATATTTAAAATGAGGAAGTGAGGTTATACCTAACCCATATTTCTCACTTCTCTTATCTTAGTACTGTATTCTCTTAGTATTGTAGCAATTATTTTAAATTTAACCTTGTATGGGATTTTCTTGAAGTCATTAAGAAATGTGTGATGCCAAGAAGGATTGGCAGTGTGTATTTAAGTAGCCCTCTGTGATAGAGCAATAGAAATTCTCTGTCTTCACAGAATTCCTTTCTCAATATGTTGTTGTTGTATTCCATTGAGTTGGAAATGACCCATAGCTGACCCTCTAGCAGGTTTTCAGAGGTAATTTTAATCTCACAGGAGGAGATTGCCTATCCTCTCCTGGAGCAGTTGGTGGATTTGAACTGTGTGCCTTTGGGATTGTAGCATAGTTCCTTACCACTAGGCTACCGGAGCTCTCTTTTTAATATGAGAGACAGAAGAGATGCCTTCCACCTTTTTTTTCCCCCCAGTGGGGTTATCCTTTTTCCATTGTTTTCTACTAAGTCACTGAGTTTCCATGTTACAGCACTATAATGGTTATAAAAACTCACCTTTCTCATAGGTCTTTTGCCAAGTTCTATTTTTTAAAAAATCTGGTTTGTTAGACCTGTCTCATAGATTTAACTAATCCTCTCTGGTTAACCTAGTCCTCAGATCAGAGAATCTGGTTAGTTGATGAGAAAGGAAGTCAGAAGAGGCAAACAAGAATGGGTTGGCGCTTGCAGTTTATATTTTCAGTGGTTAAACCTCATGGTCCTTTGATCCGCTTGTGGTTACCTTGGGCCAACCTGGTGAGACCCCCTTTGACATCTCAACAGACAGAGGAAAATAGTTCAAGCCATGAGGATGGATGTGTTAAGCTCCAGAAGACTGGAACAGAGAACTACTTGTGAAGGGTCTTCATTCCTCTGTGGAAGAGAGAATGTGACAGGAGCCCAGATAAAGCCACACACATCCCATACAATGAAGAGCCCATTTTGGCTGGGTCTTCCTATATCCTTGCAGATGTGAGGATTAATCTGAGGTAATGAATGCATTTGTCGTAATGGTAAAAGGTGCTGTGTGAATGCCCAGTTGTGTTATTTTGCATCATGATCAGGATTTGGACCAGTCTTGGCCTTTTCAGATGACTGAACAATAGAATCCTTCATGGTGAGGGAGTCAGTTGATAATTTAGTCTGCTCTGTGGGTCCCTGGTCACGTCCGAGTCATAAGGCTGCTATCCATTTTCTTCTTCATCTCTTCTACGGAACTATGGGTTGTAGGTTCATTTGGTTGGTTTGTTTTTTTCTTTTTTCCTTTTCAAGGGAGCACAAAACAGTGTTTGAATTCCTACTTTCTTTCAGGATAGAAGGAGATAAAAGTTTCTCTTTTTTTAGCCTACTGTTTTACTGTCTCTGAGTTCCCATTTTCTCTTTCACTCTTCATGATTTCTTGTCATACATAAGGAGACCTTGTCTTGAAAAGAAGTTTAATTCATTTTTCCTCTGACTGTGAAGTCTCTGCTTGTAGTTACATTACCTCATGGGTTCTGAGTGTTAAGCTCTTATTTATGTTACAGAATGTGAACTCTTCTAGTGCTTTGTGGACGTGACTGACCCGTTACCTCAAGCTGCTCGGGAGACCTCTTAGCTCTCTGCCACTTCCCAATGGGGTGCTGGTGCTTCAAGAGGATGGGGAGTTGCATGGCCCCATTTTTTTTTCTTTAAATACCTGGAGGCCAGATCCTGACTCTGAACATTCTGTTGTATCACCTCATTATACCTCCAAATGTGAGTTGCAAGAAGATCTCAAAGAAGTGGACCAAGACTGTCATTTAGTTGCATGGCTCAAAGCCTGGCTATAGAAGAGACTGCTCCATTGTGTGACCCTAGCATTGGGCTGCTGCTGCTATGCCTCTGTGTGCTGTTTGTGTTTTTTTTTCTCTCGGAGGGTATGCACTGTTGGACGCCGTGGACAGACATTGTAACTTTTGGTATCTCACCTGTGGACTGACATTGTAACTTTTGGTATCTCACTTTGTAATGGTTAATAAAAGTCTTTTCATTTTCCAGCTTCATTTTCGTGTTTCTCTACATACAAAGTAAAAATTGTCACGTGAAAGAGGGGGACTTTGTGGTTTTTAGCCTCAAAAAAGGAGTCACCACTTGAGTTCCTCTCAAGCAAAAACCTTGCACAAATTGTGCAGTGTGCTGGAGCCAGCTCATAGTGCCCACAAGAGCTGACTGTTAACGTTTTAGGATATTTACAAGATTGCTCTTAATATTCAAACTCACTGTCATCAAGTTGAATCCTACTTATGGGAGACCATCCAACAAGTTTTCAAAGGCTGCAAATAACAGGAGATTTCTCTTCTTTCTCTTGAGGAGCAGCTGGTGGATTCAAACTGTCTACCTTTGGGTCGGTGCTGCAACTCCTTACCTACTAGGCCACAAGAGCTCCTTATAACACCAGAAGTAAGTGGCCAGTATACTACTTCTTAAGGCTCATCTAGTACAGCCATTGAGAAGAGCAAATATTTAACAGATTTTCAAAAGATAAGGTGATATGCACATGCCTTTAGATATGTTGTAATTGTTGTTGTTGTTGTTGTTGTTGTTGTTGTTGTTGTTATGTGCCACTGAGTTGCTTGCGACTCATAGCGACCCTATGTATAAGAGCTCTAAACACCGTTCTATCCTGTGCCAACTTAGCCATCTCAAATGCACTTTTTCCCACCGCTCCAATCACAGAATCGATCCATCTCATCGAGGGTCTTCCTCTCCTGTGCCGTCCCTCCACTCTGCCAAACATGATGTCCCTCTCCAAGGACCAGTCCCTCCTTGCAACATGCCCAAAGTATGTCAGATGAAGCTTCAGAATCCTTAACTCCAAGGAGCTTTCTGTCTTCACCTTCTCCAGGACAAACCTGTTTGTTCTCCTAGCAGTCCATGGAATATTCAGTACTTTTTCCAGCACCACAGCTCAAAGGCGTCAATTCTCTTTCTATCATCCCTATTCACTGTCCAGCTTTCCGATGCATAGCACGTAATTGTGAAGTGCTGTTAAGTCAATGTCAACTCAAAGTGACCCTGTAAAAAGCAGAGCTCAACCTTGCCCTATCCTACAACATCCTCACCATCTCCAGCATGCTTGAGCCCATTGTGGTCGTCACTGTGTTTCAATCCGTTTTGTTAAGAGTCTTCCTCTTTCTCTGACATTCCCCCTTTCCCAGCATGCTGTCTTTTTCTAAGGACTGGCCCACTAGAGCAGGGTTGAAGGCATAGACACTGAAGATACTTGTTTTACAGTGGTGACTTAGGGCTAAGAACTGTGTCAGAGTGAAGGAGGCTTGGGGATTTTTCTAGGATGCCCACGTCATCTGACGGGTTGCCTGGGGGGTTGAATTTTTGTTTGTATTGTGGAAATGCTGGTAGAACACTGGCAGGAAATCTGCATGTTCTAGTGGGAAATTAGAGGACTGGACAGGTGTATCGTAATGCCAGTTTGTATTGGTAAGGGTGGAGGGGAAGAAGGAAGACTATTCTGTCATGAACACAGAGCAAATGATTTGTATTCATTTTAAATTTGTTTTTCCTGCATGTGGCAGATTTTCTCCCTAAGTGTGTTCCAGATGCCAGTTAAGATTCACTCCCAGAGAGTTTGTCATCTAGCCATCTACAGAGTGAGGCTCACCTCAGGAGGTAAACTTACTACCTCTTTTTAGAATGAAAGTATAAATACACATTGGGTAATGGGCCAGATGACTGAAATGAGAACTTCAACTTAGAGGTTCCTGCTTGCATCTTTGCAGCCTGCTCAGATCTCACGCATGTGCTGTGTGTTCAACCTGGTTTGCACACAGTGTCTGCAGTTGGGTTTGGGGAACTGCAGTGTGAAAGAGATTGCAGCTACATTGTTTCTCTTGGGCGCTTTTCATCTCAGGTAAGCGATTTCCTTCTGTTTTTAAGCAGTTGTTTGAACTCAGAAGCAGCCCGATCTGGAAGATGTTTGTTGAAAATCCTTTAGGACCGAGAGGCCACAATGGCAGAGCTCTCAAATCACAGTAGAGTGATTGTCAGGAGATTGTCATGTGGTAGCTGTTTTCTGTATCACAGAAAAATTGATGTGAAGATCCTCAGTGAAAAGAAATGTTTGTTTTTAATAATAATTTAAAAAGCTGCTGCTGCTAAGGCATTAGCTTTTGTCTGTGATTTCAGGTCGAGCTGTGATCAGGTGCTTTCAAGCTCATGACAGGGCACTTCTCTCTTTGTCCAATCTTAGACAGACATATTTAATCTTAATGAGTGAGGAGCTTAAATCTCCAAGCAAAGATAGACTATTGTCTATTTTTTTAAAGATTGTGTGTGATGGATGAAGTATAACTCACATCGAAGGAGGGACCTAGAGTCTTCTAAGACTGCCAACGTCCCCATTAACAGAGGGTTGACTGTTGTGCTCTGGGTCATGGTTAAGATGCTCTGTGAACTATCTGTGTATATTAAGTGGTCTTGAAAGGTGTTGTGATGTTGGCCCTGTACCTAATGACATCCAAGAGCCTGGAGGGTCACAGTAAAGTGGAGTGGACTGTGTGCATCACGGGGCTTCACAGTTGTCTATGTAGCTGTCTCTTCTTATAAGGGAGAGTCACTTTGACTGAGGGACAGTCGTTCCTCTGTATAACTTTAGGATGAGTAAATGATGATCTGGATAAGTCATATCTTGTAACTTTGGGGAAGATTCAGTGTATTTTCTTGATGTACAGTTTTTAGGGGTTGTTTTCACACCAAGTCTTATTGTTATAAATCTTTTCTAAGGAAATAGGGATTTTGTTTCCTAGCATAATTACGGCAAGAGTAACAACTCCTCTACACTATAAATAATAAGAAAGGGATCCTAATAGTTACAAATTCACCCCATACCCCAATAGTGATAAACATATTTGCTAGAAGTTATATTGTGAAATAGTTGTCCAAATTTTTAAGGAGCAATGATGTCAGTTTGAGGACTGAAGTGTGCCCATTTAAGGCCATGATCTTTTCAGTCACTTGCTATTCATCTGAGAGCTGGGCCATGAATAAAGATGACAGAAGGAGAATTGATGCCTCTGAACTGTGGTGTTGGAGATGAGTGCTGAATATCACATGTACTGTCAAAAGAACAGGCAGATATGTCTTGGAGAAGGTGCAGCCAGAGTGCTCCTTGGAGACAACGATGATAAAACTTTGTCTCACATACTTCAAGCATGTTGCTAGGATAGGCTGTTTCTTGGAGAAGGACATTATGCTTGGAAAAGTGGAAGACTCTCATTGTTGCTTGAGTATGTCAGAGAGTGTGAAGAGAGCCCAAGATAGGACAGACCTCAGATCTGTTGCCCATGGGGTTGCTATGAGTCACACTTAACTCTATTTAACAAAAACAACATATTGTAAAAGAGAATTGAGCCTAGGTGAAAATATTTGACCAACATAGAGAAATCCTTATGTGGAATGATCTGAAGAGTATCTGCTAAGGAGATAAATCAATGCTGGGAAGAAGCAGAAGCAATGTAGAAGCAGAGAATTTTAAATGGAGTCTGTTGTATCCAGATGCCAAAGGTGCTTCTGGGGGTTTTGATTTGATAGTAGTGATGGGGAGGTAAGCCTATGTGGGCACAGTCCTTGGCCTGAAGGACTTTATCAGCTTAGGGGTGGGATAGAGAGCAAGACTTTAATAAGCTGAGTACAAAGATAAAAAGATACTGTAAATTGTGATAAATACCATCACTCAAATCACTGCTACTGGGTCATTTCCGATTCATCCTGACCTCTGTCAGGTTTCCAAGGCTGTAAATCGTAATGAGAGGAAGCTCCCTGTCTTTCTCACTTGGAACTGCTGTTGTCTTAGGACTTCCTGAGATGGGAAGCCTTTGGGTTAGCAGTGCTATGGACATGCTATGGTTTACAGCACCAGAAAAGAAAAAGATAAACATTGTACCATTGTTAAGTCTGTCAAGCCAGCTATGATTCAGAACAACCCTATGAACAACAGATTTAAACGGTGCCCTATCTTGCACCATCTTGGCCATTTCGGATATGATCAAGCCCATTGTTAAAATCACAGTGTCAACCCATCTTGTTAAGGCTCTTCCTGTCTTTGTCTGACCCTCCACCTTTCCCGGCATGGTGTCTTTTTTTGAGGGCTGGCCCTTCTTTGAGCATGCCCAAAGTATGTGAGACAAAGTTTCACCATTTTTGCCTCTAAGGAGTACCCCTGTTGCACCTTCTCCAAGACAGGATTGTTTGTTCTTTTGGAAGTTTAGGAGATTTAATACTCTTCTCCAACAACACAATCCAAAGGCTTCGATCCTTCTCTGTCATCCTTTATCATTGTCCAACTTTCAACTGCACAGGAAGTAGTTGAGAAGACGGTGGTTTGGATCAAGTACATCTTAGTCTTTAAAGTGACAATGCTGTTCTGCAGTAGTTTGGAGAAGTCCTTGCTAGCAGATTATCCCAATACAACATGTCTTTTGATTCTTGGTTGCTTTCATCATGAGCGTTGATTGGGAATTCAAGTAAAATGAAATCTTTGATAACAAAATGAAACTTTAGTGTTTTTCTCCATCTATCATGATGCAGCCTACTGACCCAGTGGTGAGGATTTTGGTTTTC